AAAAAAAAAAAAAAAAAAAAAAAAAAAAAAAAAAAAAAAGAAAATGGGTTGTAGATGTAGCTCAGGGCAGAGGCCTTGGATTCAATCCCAGTTTGCAAAAATGAAAACAAAAACAGAAAACCCGAGGGAAACTTCTTTCCCTCCTAGTGTTAAGGGCAGTGGAGAAAGAAAGAGGTTGTAATCACTCCACTGGGCAAGGAAAGGTTGGAGAACAGAAGACAGTAGCACTGGTCTCTGTCTCCTGGGAGTGGTTCTCAAAAGATGCAAAGTAGCATAAAACGGTGGCGCATGCCTGTAGTCCTCGTACTCTGAAGGCTGAGGCAGGAGGATCATCATGAGTGGGAGGTCAGCCTGGCTACATAACAAGACCCTGTCTCAAAAAACAAAAACAACAACAAAAAAGGATGCAAGGAAATTTATTTGGCAAATCTGTAAGACTTAGCTTACAAGTAGCTTCTGATAAGGCGTTGCTGCCTATGTCAGCCCTTGCTTCAGCACATAGTCAGGCAGTCCTCAATCTGGTGTCTGGTCTGGAAGTACAGACATTTAATAATAAATAGAACATGCATCACCTTATCTATCTTTTCTTGAAAATCTTCAATTCTTTGTTGTTGTTCTCTGATTCCTTCACTCAACATAGCACACTGAGATTCAATGTTTAGTAGCTCACTTTGTAGCTGCGATTGCTCCTAATAAGAAGAGAGAAAAGTTCCCTTTTTAACACGGCTACTCGAGATTTATACAGCGAGGCCCAAAACACATGGGTGTCTTTCAGAATAAGAGAGCTCATGAGGGAAGATGACTCTGGCACAACCAGGTTATAAGGTTACACATCATTAAGAATAATCAAAGGACTGTAATAATCTGAATCAGGGCAAAATACCTAAAAATGACATGCTGGTCTATAATTCCTGAAACTCTGTTCTGGTTCTCATTTCCATCAAATTTTAAGTAGGTCACCTACCTGGTGTGCAGCAGCAAGGTGCTTCTTTTTAATTATCTCCAGTTCAGTCTGTGAATATCTGAGTCGTGTATGAGTTCCCTGTATTAGGGTCTGTATTTGCTTCAAGTCTGTTTCCTTGCGGAGTGTCTTCATCAAATCCTAAAAAGGAAGAGAATTCGAGCATTTTACCATACAAAAGGTAAAATGCACCCCTTTCGAAGTGCTTTGCTTTCATGGAACAGTTCACTGATTTTCACATATAGGCAGGCCCATACCCTATTTCTGTCCTCAGATAAAAGGCTGAGATTACAGGTATAACCCTCCACGCCAGGATTTTTTTTTTTTGAGACAGGGTCTTTCTATCTTGCACGGGCTGCATCAAACTCCTGCCTCAGTCTTCTGAGTTGCTGAGACTACAAGCATACACCATCACACCAGTTTGTTACATACTTTTTTTAATCTCAAGAAATTCTTCTTGTAATAGATCATTTTTTCAATTAAAAATCACTGGTGGTATTTTAATTTAAAAAAATTTTTTTTTTTTTTTTTTGTTTTTCTCCGGTACCGGGAACCGAACTCACGACCTTGTGCTTGCCAGGCAGGCGCTTTTGCCGCTGAGCTAAATCCCCAGCCCCCTTAATTAGAATTTTATTCAAGTTATATACTAATTGAAGAAGTTTTAACCTATATAGTTTATCTTTTCTTTTAGTTGTATTTTTCTTTCAATAACACTTAGTTTTCCAATGTTGCTACTTTGCCCTGATATTACTTTTATTCCTTTTACAAGCAGACTTTTTACCATTTTTAGGTGCTATTTGTTTTGTTTTGTTTTTGAAATAAGGTCCCACTATGTATTCCAAACTACCCTAAAATTCACTATGTACCCCTGGATGGCCTTGAACTTGAGATTCTCCTGCCTCAGCGTCCTGAGTGCTGGGATTACAGGTATATACCATGATGTCCAGGATATTTTTAGATACTATTTGATAGGACTGAGAGAAATTAAAGATTTCTATTAGCCCGCTCATCATCTTGTTAAATCTAGTAGCTTTTAAAGTACACTCTTAGCTGAGCATGGTGATGAACACCTGTAATCCCAGCACTCGGGACACCGAGGCGGGAGAACTGATACAAATTCAAGGCCAGCCATGGTGAGAGTAGTACCTACTTCCAGATTTTAACTAAAATGATTTTAGCATTTCACTAAGTATTTTGAGTAATTCTGTAAGTTTTTAATATAAACCATTTTATTTAAATAACTTCTACTAATTACTCTTCTATTTAGTATATTAATTGGTATTAGCTGCTGAATTTTATATAATGTCTTTTCTATATCTGATCATATGACTTTTGGGTTGTATGAGGTATGATTACAATAATACAATGAATGTTAAAATTTTTTTAAATTATTGAATTAAAAGACACACTGCCATTATCCTACTCCAAGTATTACAATTCGAACACACTTATTTCGTCACTGTGGCCACTTTCTGAGGCAGTTCTGAAAGTCCTGTTTCTTGAGTGTTAGTTGTGCTGTTATGGCTGCTTCAGTATCACAAACCAAAATATTTACTTTCCATGGTGATTTTGACTTCAGAGAAAAGACGAAAGTTGCATGGTGCCAGATGTGATGAATAAGATGGATGAGGACATACTGTGTTTATACGTGACAGACACTACCATTAACATTTAATAAGTGGGGAGATTAAAAATATAGTGAAATTTTTGTTTGTTCTTGGGGACAAGGTTTTGTTACACAGCCCAGGCTGGCCTGAACTTGCAGTAATTCCCCTGCCTCAGCCTCCTAAGTGCTGGGCTTATGCTTTTGATGGGATAGAGAGAAATTATAGGCATGTGCCACCACGCCAGGTTAAATGTTTAAGTTAAAACATTTAATACAGTAAAAGACATTTTCCATTAATCCATTTGAAATACTCTCCTTCACTTCAAAAACTCTTATCCCACTGTTCTTCACAGTCTTTTAAAAATTTTATAAATGTAAGCATTCACCTTCTCAATCACCATTTGTAACAGGTTATATACAGTATTTGCCAAACACAATTTTGAAACACGCATTTGTGTACAGATCGCATCTCCCATTAAACAGCTCTTCATTCCTCCCTTCTCCAGCCCCCAGCAACCACCATTCAACTTTCTATCTCTGAATTTGACTTCCTAGCGACCTCTTATTAGTGGAATCCTAGAGTTCTTTGTGACTGGTTTATTTTATTTAAAAAATTTCCTCAAGGTTTTCCATGTTGCAGCAAGAGCCAGAACTTCCTTCTTTTTAAAGGACAAGTAATAACCCATTGTGTGGAGCCCAAGTCACCATCACCAGGGTCAGGTGAGACACAGGGAACTCAATGTGGACGTGGATAAGAAAAAGATGCATTCTGAGTTGCTCATCTTCTCAGAATTCTCTCTGTGCTGAGGCCTGAATCTGCGAACTCTTTATAAGTTGAACATATTTATATCTTAGACTAAAACATAAAATGTGGTCTTACACTTACAGAAAAGACTAAAACTAGTCAGGTAACCTTGTCACAGTATCTCCCTGAATCAAAAACTGTTATCTTTGTACACAAAAGTTGAAGGTTAACTAGGAAAAATGAAAACATAATCTGAAAGCATTCTTCGGACTTGGTATCTATTAAAGGTTGATATTTTAAATAAGTGGAATGATGACAGTATTCAATAACTGTGACTTTTATAGGGTTATAATTCACTCTAGATGGAAGCATTATTGAATTTCTTTTGTGATCTTCAGAACTAGGTCTACACATGACATTCTTTTATTTTTCTTTTTTTGGTACCAAGAATCAAACTTAGGACCTTGTACTTGCCAGCCAGGCAGGCGCTATGCCACTGTCATATGCCTACATATGACACATTCTAAAATTCAAAAGTTATAAAAGTTTTATGATTTGCCTACATAAAGGTTATACCTGCCTGACACAAAGAACCAAGTAAAATGTCAAACATAGCTGGCAATGAAAAGGAATAAATTTTTGATATACAGTGTGTAACAAGACAAATGTCAAAAACAGGCTGAGTGAAGAAATCTTGACGCAGACATACTCCCTAAGCCCACTCCCAGGAAGCTTAGAAGAGGAGAAACTCTAACGACAGGAAGTGGGCTGGGCTGGCAGGCCTAGAGGCCCAGGGACAGTGACAGGCTGTGAGGGAGCACAGAGGAGCTCTGTGTGGTGACAGCAATGCTACACACAGTTGCCAAAACCTACTGACCTGTCACTGTATGTAAGCTTTATCCCAATAGGGCCAACTGAAAATTCAGAGAAAATACAACTCGTATGACTAAGGACAAATTTATTTGTTACATACATAATTTCTAAAATAGGCAATAAAATAACAACCCAAAGCTAAACATGCACTGGAAATTAGCAGTTCACTTTTTACTTTTCTTTTTACCTAAAAAAAACACCTAGCTAGTTTAAAAACACAACTGTGTTCCTTAATGGTTTGAACCTTGTATGACATGGATTCACCTTTAGCTCTTGTGCCAGCTGGTTTCTTCGGTCCCTTAGATTCTTTAACTCTTTTTCATCCCAACATCTAGCCTTGTGTTTTAAGTCACTTGATCCTCCAGAGATGACCCCGGATTTTAAAAAGAGTGTTCCATCAAGAGCTACTGTCTGTAAAATTAAAATATTTTACTTTGGAGAAATGCACGCGAAAAGATAAGAATAAGGACACAATGTGGCAATTTTTACAACTGAGAATTTTTAAATATATAAAAAAATTTACTGGGTTTAACTAATAGAATATCTAGTTTAGGAAGGAATACATAAACAAACCACAAACACAAAAGTCATTTAACTAAGACCCAAAGCAATTCTTGGCAACAAATTAGCAATAATTATCAACCTCAAAATGAACTGTGTATTAGTTCCAAATATATTCAATATTGAGAAGCAAACACTGAGACTATTTACACTTAGTATCAAATAGCTTGCATTACATAATCCTGTTTTGAAGATCCTGATGTATATGTTAATGGCACATTATGAAAATGGCGTATTATGAAAATGGCCTTACTAGCTGGGGTTGGTGGCACACACCTGTAATCCCAGCATTTGGGAGGCTGAGGCAGGAGGATTGCCACAAGTTTGAGGCCACCCTGGACTACACAGTGAGTTCAAGGCTGGTCTGAACCACATGGCGAGACCTTACCTCAAAAAAAAAAAAGAAAAAGAAGAAGGGAAAAAACATTAAGAAATCAAGAGGCTGGGGATTTAGCTCAGCAGCACAGCACCTGGCTGGTAAACACAAGGTCATGAGTTCAATTCCCAGTACCAGAAAAAAAAAAAATCAAATAATGACCACACTTCCCTTGAGTTACACACTAAGCTGCACATGTCATGTTTTTTTTTTTTATTTTTATTTTTTTTATTTTTTGGTTTTTCTCCGGTACCGGGAACCGAACTCACGACCTAACTGTCATGTTTTTTAAAATCACTATACTGTATCTTGGAGATTGTCCCATACTTGTACATAGACAGCCTGATTCTTTTTTAGAAGTTGCACAGTATTCTATCATATGGGCTTTATTTCTTTATTTATTGAGATAGGGTCTTGCTACGTATTTCAGGCTGGTCTCAAACTCTTCGTGATCCTTCTGCCTCAGCTTCCCAAGTGCTGGGATTACAGTTGTGTACCACCATGCCCCAGTTCATATGGACTTTATATTTTCATTTAACTAGTCTTATATAGATGAGTTGGTCCCAATTTTTCCTAGTACACACAATGGTTCAGCAAACACACATCATTTCATGAAGCTGTAAGTTCACCTATATCTAAGTCCCTATAAAAACAATAGGTAGAACTGCCCTTTACAGAGATGTAAATTTGGACTTTCACAGCCCTAAATAGAAGAGCCTCTCTCCCCATAAAATGTTACTGAACTTTTGATACTGGTCAGCCCGACAAGTAAAAATAATACTTCAGAGTAGCTGTAATGGATATTTCCCACAGTACGGTATAAGTGAGGCAGAACGAGTGTACATATTTCCTTTGATAAAAATAATTTGTGTTTTATGTGTGCGTGCATGGGTATTGTTACTGGGGACTGAAGCCAGGGCCCTTTTTCATTTTTAAAAATAGGGTCACATTAAGTTTTTAAGTTCCCCAGGCTGGGCTCACATTTGCAATCTTCCTGCTTCAGCCTTCCACAGCGTTGGGACTGCAGGTGTGTATCACCACACCCGGGTGTTATACTCTTTGCTCATCTATTCACTGTATTACTATTCTTTTCCTTATTGATTTGCAAGAAATTTTGCTCTTTGCTATGAGTTGCAAATATTTCCTCCCCAATTTGGCATTTTTCCTTTGATTTTGCTTATGACTGTTTTTGCATTGGGAGAGCCAAACCCAGGCCTCACAAATACCAGGCAAGCATTTTACCACTGAGCTATATCCCCAACTCTGCTTATGATAGTTCTCGCCATGCAGGAATTCATTATGTCAGTTTTTCCACCTTTTATAGTTTTTGCCACACTGAAAAGGCTTTCCTATCTGAGATTAAGAAAAACTTTCCCTAAAAACTTTTATAGTTTCACTTCTTACACTTACAAGTCTAATCTACCTGGAACTTTATTCTCAAATAAGGTGTGAAATGTAGAGAACCCAGCAGTAGAGTAACAGGTAGTTTTATTCACTTTTTGCTTGAGGTTTTTTGTGGTTTTGTTGTTGTTCTGGGAATTGAGCCCATGGTCACACATGCAGCACAAAATGCTTGCTCCTCTGCTGAGTTACATCCCCAGTCCTGTTCAGTTTTTGAAAATATGACTGTTTTCACAATTTGTGGAGCCACTTAATGACATTTTTCTGGGTCCATTTTAAAAGGGCAATGTATAAAAAGATCTTTCTGTATATGTTTTAAAGTAACAATTAATTTGTCTATGGGTGCAGGAATCAAGTAAGTGTTGTATCTCTGGAATGAATGATAGAATCCATGAAACAGACAGAATAATCACATGTGCATAAAGAGATTCTAGGTTTTAAAATACTGATATAGCAGGCATTGTGGCGCACACCTGTAATCCCAGCACTTGGGAGGCTGAGACAGAAGAATCCCGGTGACTTCGGGGCCAGCCTGGACTACACAGTGAAATCAAGACCAGCCTGAACTACACAGTGAGGCCCTATCCCCCCAAAAATAAATAAATAAAACATTGATATGTAAGGTTTTTTTGTTTTTGTTTTGCTTTTATTTAAAAAAAAATAACAAACCCTTGTGTTGAGGGTTGACTTTCAATAGATCGTAGTAAGAGCTTCTCTGTTACATATGAAACCCTGACCCAGAAGCAGGTCGTCTACGAATGGTTTAGCGCCAGGTTCCCCACAAACATGCGTCCCATGACGGTCAAGAAGGCAGCCCCCCTTATGACTGCACCCCATTTCCCAGGACTAAGGGCTCTCTGCACTGGACCCTGGTCCCGACGTGTGGATACATGTTTTAAAAATACTTAAAAATTGAGTTATCACAAAAATATGGTACCCAAATCATGGCTAGCAGAACTGTTGCAATTTATATTAGGTAATTTATATGTACTATAGTCCACAATTAAGCCAAAATATTTTCTGATGTCACAATGTTCAAAGAAGATTTTAAAATATGATACTGTCTATGGAAAATCAAAAGCATAAATTTTAGGCAATGATGATTTCTATAAAAATGTGAGATGTGGCTGGGGATATAGCTCAGTAGCACAAGAACCTGCCTGGCAAGTGTAAGGTCCTGAGTTTGATTCCTGGTACCAAAAAAAAAAAAAAAGTGACATCTATCTATTGTTCTAACCAACCCAAAACAGAAAAAATACAAAGTCCCTCAAATGTAGTTAAGATACCAATAAAACTGAGTTTTTCAAATACCAAAAAGAGTAAGACACAAACTAAAGAGATAAAGCATGTTCTTATAGACAAGAAACTAAATATTTATTATGTGAAGAAATAAATGGCTTTATGTTCATATGATTTCAACTGTACATGTCTTTAAAAATCAATTGTACAATGTTTTAGAAATAAAGTCAATTTTAGTATAATTAGGCAGCAAAAATAAGGAAGAGATTTTCGTATCTGATTCATTACTCCTGCTTAAGCTTAATATGTAGAAATCAATGACAGAGATTACTAAAAAAGTGATCACATCACTATTATTGACAAAGCACCAAAGTGAATGATGAGTTAAATTATGTGAGGAAAATGAATGAATTTAATGCTGGAAATCCTCATGTCTCATAAGAATAGCTTGCTTTGTATTAATTTGTAATTCTGGACATTGCAGGTAAATAATAAAATGACCGCTACATATTTAGAGCTATTTGCCATGCACTCTCATAGCATTATACTTGATGTTACTTAATTTAATTCTCAAAGTCCTATAAGGGGTTTAGAAGCTTGCTTGATTACTAAATTACTAAGTAGCATCTCTGGTCTTATTTTATAGTTGATACCCCTTGGTGCTATTTCTACTTTATCATAAATGTAATCATAAAAAAAACTTAGATAATTTGAGGAATTTAACACTGCTCAACTAAATACAGACTATTCAGATGTAACAATAATGTTTATTTTACAATTGTACAATAATGTTTATTTTAAAAACCAAAATTGTTTCCTTGAAAGACAATCATTCAGGAAACTCATTTCAATTATTCTATTATATGTTTAATTGTATTAAGCTTTGACATATAAAACAGTGCCTCCATTAAATATGTAAGAACCCTGTGTTTACATACAAACAAGCAGCTAAAATCTCTTTCTGTTCAAAAATATATTTAAGCTGTAAACCAGGAGGACCTTGCACAATACCTGCAGAGACTCATTGGAAGCCATTCTTCCCCTGACAGTACAGGCTGTGGTGGAGGTCCGGAGAAGTCTGCAGCAGGATTCCTGCTGCCTGTGCTGACAGTTGGGGAGAGGACACTAACTGGTTGTGGGGTCCCAATGCGATGGGAGGCTGGAGAGAAAACACTACAAAAAATGGCTTTCACCCCAGACAGCTCACTTGATTTTTGACAACCCTTAGGCTATAACTACTTGTTAGATCCTTCGTGTGTATCTCTGTCTTCCTGAGAAACCACTTTGAAGATACCACCATGTATTACAGCAGTCATTGATATTTTCCTACTAATCTATCCATAACTCTCTAATGTTTGTATTGTTCCTATCCTATTTCATAAATGGATCCATGTTTATTATTATGTGTTTCCTACAACAACCATTGAGAATTATTGAATGATTATTCAGTAGGTCACTCAGGTATAGTTCTACTTATATTCTTTAGAAGCCACTTTGAAGATACCTAAGTATAGTACAACAACTACTGATAATCTCCTACCTCTTTTGTCTGTAACTCACTATCATTTGTCTATTTGCTTTCCTGAGAAACTATCTTATAGATAACAATATGTAAAAGAATAACCATTGATAATTTCCTACCACTTTGTCTGTAATTTGGTAAGCCCCTCCTATTATTATGTTATCCTTCTTTTACTCTTTAAAATAAAATAAAAAATATATATTTACTATATAGGAAAGTGCAGGGAAAATCTGGGATTTAGCAAGAACACTCATTCCATATAAATTGAAATCAATTACCTCAGGATAGTATAATAAGTCTAATTTCTAGCATATAATGCCTGATAGGAAATGCTACATAAGTGGGTTTTTTTTTTTTTTTTTTGGTACAGGGAATCAAACTCAGGACTTTGTGCTTGCCAGGCAGGTGCTTGTGCCACTCAGCTATATCCCCAGCCCCAGACATTATAAAAACTACTGAATCCGGGCGTGCTGGTGCACACCTGTAATCCCAGCACTTGGGAGGCTGAGGCAGGATGACCATTGCGAGTTCGAGACCGGCCTGGGCTACAAAGTGAGCTCAAGGCCAGCCTGAGCTGCATAGTGAGACCCTGTCTCAAAAAGACAAAAACCAAAACACAAAAAACCCTACTGAAGTGATAACCATCTTGGGTTCTATGTTAGTTTTCCTTATATATATAAGAAAGCATATATACATGTGTGTGTAGTGGTGTCTTCTAACTACAACTTCAACTTAACCAAAGGTGCAACCCAAGTTTCCTCTCTTACTTTTCGTCTTTCGGGTCCATCGAATGCAATACGTCTTGCTTCTTCCACAGTCTCACAGACAAGACCATTTCCACACACAAACTGAATCACTTTCTTCAGCTGAGGAAACTGAGTCTTTACAACATCAATCATCATTTTACAGCCTTTAATCTCCCTTAGTCTTTCATTGATTGGCTTAATCTGAAAGGTTTAAAAATATTTCATATATTAGTTAAATTAAAATACAAACCAAATACTCATTACATTCCCATAAAATACAGAAGCATAAAAAGCCCCACAGAAACACGACAACAAAGATTAACAGTAACATTTATATACAATCCAAATTGGACAGGATGCAAGAAACTACATTCATGTGTCTCATGTAATATTTCTCAAAAATACAAAAATGTACAAGCAAGAAGACGTAACTTCCAGATTAGACACTGTTGAATCTCCTTTATTGTCTCAACAACTAGCTGGTACTAAACAATAATAAGAATAAGTGCTTCATGCTCTCCAGATCATAAAATCTAGGAGAAAATAAGACGAAATTGGATATGTGTCAGAAGACCAGCACAACACTATGGAAATTCAAAAACCATTCTAGGCATAAATGATCAAGAAAGACTTCAGACCTTCTTAGACATGACTTTCAGGCTGGGTTTACAAATCAAAATTTAAAAAAGATTGCAATGTGGAAGTATGATCTCACTTTTGCTAAACAAAAGAAAGCAAAAACCCTATAAGTAACAAAACTATATATATTTAGGGACATATATTTATATATACACACATATATATATTCACTTATATAAACTGAGTACATGGGAAAGCAATTTAGAAGTACTTAGTATAAAGAAATGGGCACTGAGAAGAAGTACAATATTTCTTTATACTTGATACAGTTCTGCATTCGATTTAAAAAAAAATCTACTTTGAAAAAAATCTCAAGTAAGAAGTGAGTAAAATAGGACTGTAACAGGCAGATAAAGTCAGGTAAGAAAACTTAGTGAGCAGAAGTATAAACAGAAGCATAGCAGCACAGACGGCAGTGCTGCCGTGAACACCAGCACTAGCACTTGCTGAGCTCGTCCTCTGCACAGGTGTTGCACCAAGGGGTTCGCACGTAAGGTGAGGACTTTAGTTCTCCACTTCATAGATAAAGAAACTAAAGTTCAGAGAAATTAGGACCAAATCAAGAAGGTTTAGGAGTAGGGCTAAGAGGCTGGCTCAGGAAAGTCCAGCTCTAGTGCATGAGCTCTTACCAGGCAGGCACTCTGCCTGCAATTCAGGGTTCTTGACTACCAGCCCAAACTGAACAATCTTCCTTAGAAGGCAAAGAAAAATCACTGATGGATACCAATCATATAACAGAATTCTGGATTCTGGATATGCTAATGCATCTCAATAGATACCCCAAATCTCAAAATTTAGCCTTTTCCACCGAAAGCTGACAAATTGGACCACATGTTTATACATGAGACTGAGTTGGCCTTTTACCAAAAGACTACACGTCTTTTGCATTTCCTTTAGTTCTCTATGGAATGAAATATATTGTTGGCCAGTAGGTAGAGTGGTGCACTGACTGAGCCATGGACTCTAAGGCAGAATTGTGGCCAAACTGAACTAGAAAGACATGATACGTTATTGGGAAAGACAGCAACCAAGAGACATTGCTCGTCTACCAGTCCACTAACACCAGGCACCTGGCTGACTGAGTGCTAACAGGCATCCATACACAATTTTTTCCAGTGTGGCTACAGTTTTAGGCAAGAAAGATAAAGAGACAAGATTTGATGACCGCTCAATACCAAAAGTACAACTTTCTTACATCGAGGTAATCTAGAGCAAGGAATGTCTCGGGTTCAGCCCTTTCCTCCTTCAGAAATCGAATGCAGTCTTTGGCCACCTTTTCAGAGGTGACCACGATGGCTACCATGTACCGACCAAAAAGCTTAGTCACAGCCAGCTGGTACTTCTTATGAATAGGGTGACACAGGTCAAGCAGCCTTCCAAACTGCACGGGTTTCAAAAGAGAAGAGAAAACAAATACATCAGTGAGAAACATAATTCTTTGCTGTCTAATAATAAAGCAGTATACACCAAAATGACTAACTTTATGGAATTACACATATACTGGAGTCTCACTCCAGTGGAAGTAGGTGTCAATCTGAAATACCCATTTAGGTGTGTCACACTTCATTTAGCCTTACTGAAGTATTACAATTTTTTATAAAAATAGTTATTGAATAATATCCGTTCATTTCTTTTTTCACTTAGAAAGAATCTCTTAGGCACCTACTACATTCAGGGACTGAACTAAACATTACTAAACAAAACAGTTTCAAATCTCATAAAATTTTCAATGTAGAAAGAGAGAAATGCAAAAATAATCAAAAGGATGTACAAAGCAGAGCTAGATATGGTAATAAAGTTCAGATTGTTTTAAGGGTACAATCAGGGACTAGGCTGGCCTAAGGAATCATAACGACCACCACCCAAAGAAGTGTTATTTCAGCCGAGGTTACACAAGCGGCCAAAGCTGGGTGCAGTGGCAACCCCTGTAATCCCAGAACTCTAAAAAAACTGAGGCAGGAGGGTTGCAAGTTTGAGTCCAGCCTGGGGAACTTAGTGAGACCCTGTTTTAAAATAAAAAACAACAAAAAAGGTTGGGGGTGTAGATCAGTGCAAAGGCCCTGGGTTCAACCCTTAGTACTGCAGTACTGCCCGCTCCCACTGAAAAAACTGACTGAAGTTAAAAAAAACTTTACTAGAAAATATGTGGGTATAAATCCTGACTCAATTGCTCCTGGAATAGCTAATGATTTAATTTTATATTTTTGGACTCTGTTCCATTTGATGTTTTACTATAGGCGTACCAATTTTCTTATGACAATAGATCATCGTCTTCCAATGTTTTTTTTCCCTCTGTTTAAATCTCTTCGTCTTTTTCTTCTTTGGGTCAATAATTTTATTTCTGGCTGTGTATCCTACCCTTCAGTACTTCTTATTAGTCTATTATTAATTAAATTTACTGCCAGGCATGGTGGCGCATACCTATAATCCCAGCACTCAGGAGGCTGAAGCAAGAGATCTTTGCGAGTCTGAAACCAGCCTGGGCTACAAAGTGAGCTCAAGGCCAGTCTGAACTGCATAGCAAGACCCTGTCTCAAATAGGCAAAAAAAAAAAAGTATAGGCTTTTATCTATAATAATGTTTAATCTTGTGTTCTTAGCTCTATGTTTTTAATTAGTTTTACCTCACATCTGAATCTGTTTTTAACGAATTCAGGCTCTTATTAAATTGTCTATAGCACAAAATACAGGAAATTTTCTCCTGTACCATTCTAAACTTGGCCCTTCTAAACGCATTAAGATACGTTCTCTTTATTATTACATGCATCTGTCGCTGTTGTGGTGATTCTCCCTCATGTTCAGTGAGGCAGCTGTTTAGACCTTTGACTTGCTGTGATACAGAACTTCTTGGCTCCTTTCTCACAGAGCTAAGACAGTTATCTCCTCTGAGCAACAACTGAGAGTACATACAGTACTTCCTGTTCTGCCCACATTCCTATCACCTAAGGACTCAGAGGGCAAGTTTATGTGAGAGCTCGGCCAAGGGTCTGTAAGAATACACTCTGAATATTTGGTTCTGCCTTTTCTGCTGAGCTTTGTGTTACTCCTTTGGGGTAGGAAGACACACCTCCCTTTGGACAGAGGTCTTCAGTATGGCCCCTCAACTTAAAGAGGAGCCAGGGGTCTTGACTTCCACCAGAGAGCACTAGAGGTTTATGTTTCCTGATTCATCTGGTTTAAATCTAACTCTCCCCAGTTAGACGAGTAAAAGGAAACAAATACTGTGTCCCAGTTTCCTCCTCAGGCATACTCTGGATAACAGGTGTGAATTCTCAGGAATTAGTTAATTCATCAGTTTAACTTAAGCAAAAGTTCAAGGTCACTGCCGTTTCCTCAAGTTTATGGCATTAGGTTGTTGGCTGTTGAACTATTTTTATTGTTGTTGCTGTTGTTTTGTTTCCTGACTTTTGTCATTCTATTAGAAATTCAGGGAATGAGATTCTGTGACCCAGCCTTCTTCCTGAATCATTATCCAGAAGTCAAAGCCAACATTTAAAGAGATAGAAAAAAAAGCTCTAAGGAGATGAATAGCTGGGTGAACAGAAACGTAGGAAGTAAGCTACAAGAGCGTTTACCACGGAGGCCCATGACAGACGTTCTGAAACAGAGCAATGGCCAACAGCGCCAAACACTGGAAAAAGTGTCACAAAATAAGGAACGTCAGGACACGCTGGTGTCAGTGACAGGAGTCAGATGCCAGGTCCCTGACACCACAGGAAGTCACAGTGTGAGGCGGGCATCCCAGCCACATGGGAGATCACTGTATTCTGGCTGGTGAAATACATGTAGGAATCCTGGGTTCAGCCTGACTTAGAGAACAGAAATATGCCAAGAGTATCTGCTCAAAATATTTTTGTAAGGAAGTGAGACCATGAAGAACATGAGGTTTGCTGTCTGTTTGGGGGTGCTCAGACTGCCTCAGGATACCCGAGTCCCTCAGGGGTACTGGTCCACATGTGGGTTGCTGGGCACTGCCTTAACATCATGCTTCTCCCCAGTAAGTACTCACCTACAAATACTGTGGAAAGTTGTTTTCCTCTTACTCTAATTTTACTGTAATATTTACATAGGAATAAAACTGTTAAGTACAAAATGCGAAAGATTTCTGAAATACCTCAGTACCATGAAAATAAAACAGAAACAGATTTTCTGATCTGAGATCTCATCGTGATAATATTTCTAACCCCCCAAAAGATTATTTTCCCCAAAGGAAAGAGCACAGTCCTTCTGCTTTACTCATTGTAGTTACCACGGAATCTGGGTACAGTCTTTTAAGGTTCTCCAGCACTTCTGCTCTCTTGAGCTCACGCTTTCCCTCATGGCTATCAATTCCAGCATTCTGCAAGTCACTCATGATACGATTCAATTCTTCATTAACTTCAGACATTCTTGCTTTTGCTTTTCCAATTTCATCTACCAGTGTTTCCTCTTGCTGTCTTTTCTCATCCAAGAAGTCCCTACAAAGCAGCAAGAAATTATAGAGCAAAAAGATAAACCAAAACTTAAAAACTACCAGCTGCAACATACTCTTGTCTGGGTTTGCAAAAGAACACAGTAGTGCTCTACTGATTTTTAAAGGATTAAAAAGTATAATACAATATATCTAACACAAACCTTGGGCAAAGACCTCTTGATCATTCTTTATTGATTAAAAAAATACATTTTTCTAAATAGTGAAAAAATAAAGACAGCTAACTTTATCTGTTTGTTTGTTTTTGGTGCTGGGAATCAAACTCAGGACCTTGTACTTGTCAGGCAGGCGCTGTGCCATTGAGCTACAACCCTGGCCCAAGACAGCTACCTTTAACCACAACAATCATCATACATTTAAAAATAAAGGAATTCCAATTAAAAAGAAATCCTTATCAGTGGCACAGCACCTGCCTGGGAAGCGCAAGGCCCCGAGTTTGACTGCTGGTACTAAAAAAAAAAGAAATTCTTAGTGGTAATCTAGGTTGTATTAGCTTTTACAACATAACTCATCATTTCTTTATAAAATACCAATACTAAAACAGATGTTAAGTTTCATCACTATTTCGCATTTATATTTTCAAATTTTAAACATTGTGGTTAAGTATAAACTTTAATGATCTATAATGTAATGAAAACAAGGGTATGAAAATACTGCTAAGTCTTGTGGCCGTTGCGAGGGGGAGGCCAAGGGGAGAGGGCAGGGGGACCAAGAGGGGACGGCTGCCTTTGATGCAGCACTGGGAGAGGCAGACCCTGGGTCTGGTTCTCGGGGGGCCCAGGGCGGGGTGGGGGGTGGGGGCGGAGAGGGCTCGTCTACTGTATTCATCTGCTGCCACTGTCGGGGGCTGGGCCACCTTGGGAGGGACTGCCCTGGGAGGCCCCCTGGGCCATGCCCTGTGGGGGTGGTCACTGGAGGTTGGGCTGCCCTCTGGAACAGGGGCCCTGGGGCTCAGAACCCTCCTACCAGCTGGTCCAGCAGGAATGAAGAGGCCCCGGGCATACTCTGCCTTCTCTCCCTGACCGGACTGCTGTCTCCAAGGAGGAGCCCCACAAAATCATGATTATAGAGGAAAGTGGACGGCCCAGTGCTGGACACTGGTGCTGGTCTCTCAGTCCTTCTTTTCAGTCCTGGCCTTCCTTCCAGCCGTCACACCTCAGTGAGGGGAGTCACTGATGAGGAGGTAATCACTATTTTTCGCAACCCTTGGGCTGTAACTACTTGTTGGATCTTTCTTGCATATCTTTTGTTTTCCTGAAAAGCCACTTTGAGGATGCCAACATGTATTACAGCAGCCATTGATGATTTCCTACCAATCTGTCCATAACTATATAATGTTTGTATTGTTCCTATGCTATTTCATAAATGGACGCATGTTTGTTACTATGTGTTTTCAACAACAACCATTGAGAATAGTCAATGATTATTTGAATGATCACTCATGCATAGTTCTATTTGTTTTCCCTAGAGACCACTTTGGAGAATCCAAGCTATAGTATAACAACCACTGATAAATTTCTTGCCATTTTTGTCTGCAACTCACTATTGTTTGTCTGTTTGTTTTCCTGAGAAACTATCTTGAAGATACCAATAGGCAAAATAACAACCATTGATAATACCCTACCACTTTGTCTGTAATTCAGTGAATCCCCCTATTGCTACATTGTTCTTCTTTTACTCTTTAAAGTTAAAAAAAAAAAAATACTGCTAAAACAATGGGAAGATTCTTTGATGTATAGAAATAGAAATATACTGGACTCTATAGATGTAAAACAGCTGCAAGGATTTTTCTCCTCTACTTACATGCAAGATTTTGTATATTCCTCCAACTTCTCTATCCGTTTTTTGTGGTCTTCTATTTGTTCTTTTATTTGTTTTAGATTTCCCTGAAAGGAAATAAAACCTGAAGTCAATTAGCAACTCCAAACTAATGAAATCACATCTCAAATTTACCACACTGTGAACTTTTATGAATTTGAACTGTATCAAATATAGGTAAGTGAAAATAGTTATGAAAGCAAATTTTAATTTTGAAAAGCCAAATAGGTTGATAATTCAGCTAAACTGTTACAGCCATTCAAGGAACCCAACTTAAAAATTTATGTGTGCTGTGGCTGGTGGAGAGTTTAAAAAGACCAGGTTTCATGATCTGACATATAATAAAAGTGTCATTTGGGCTGCTATGCTGTGACTTCTGTGTAGGAGTCAAGGGCAATAACAGAGATGCTGTAGGCCACTACACTGACTTAAACCCTCCAAAATGGTGAACTGGACCAGGGTGGCAGCAGTAGAGATGGAGAGATTCTTGCTGTATTTTGAAGGTGGAACCAACAGAAATTTGTTGAAAGAATTAAGAGATGGGCTCTACTTTTTGGCAACCTGAGCAACCAGGAAGACGACTATTATCAAGAAAGACTGCCTCACATGTGGGTGGTGGGTGGGAAGGTCAGAAGTTTCTAGTTCAGAATGTGTAAGTTTGAGATGCTGAGGAAGCAGATGGATATATACGAAGTTGGAGTTTTAAGGGCTGAGCCGGAGATAAAAAAATTTGCAGCATGGTATTTAAAGCTGTGTGGCCATAGATCACCAAGGCAATGGATGTAGGTAAGAGAAAAAACAAGAATGGGAATATAATAACATCTACCACATCAAGGTCTTTGAAGACAAACTGGGTTTTCAGCAATTTTTGGTACAACACATGCAAATTAAACACTATATTATAATGTCATATGCCCAGAAACTCCATAATGAATTGTTCTTGTTGTTGAATGAGCTATAATAATTTTGTAGTCAAGTTCTGTCTTTAGAAAGAAGGTCATAATGCATTAAGAGGGAGATTAAATGCTTGGTGAACTGTCACTGTCATTTGCATCTATTGAAACTGCCTATCACCACAAGACAGACAAGGCCATCCTCGTTGTAAAAAATGAAGAAATCAAAGGACAAAAGAGTTAAATAACTCAGTTATCTATTGAGACAATATACATTAAGTGAAGATTAAGATTGCAGAAGCCCGGTATGCCTCACTGAGGCAGATCGTCATCACCGTGTCTGATGGTAAGTCGTGCTGTCGATTAACTACCTGTTCTTGGGCTACAGTCACCCTGCCGTACCTCGGGGGCTGATTCCAGAACCTCTGTGTTACATGACCCTTGTAGAAAATACAGCAGCACCTGAGAACAACCTTCACACATCCTCCCGTAATTTTAAATCCCCTCTAGATTACTTATGATACTTATACAATGTAAATGCTGGGCAAACAGGCATAATACTGTATTTAGGAAATAATGACAGGAAAAAGTCTGTAAATGTTCAGTAAATGTACTTTTCTTCCTCAAGATATTTTCAATCTTTGATTGGTTGAACCCACAGAAGCAAAACAAAAGAATACAGAGAGCAGAGTGATTAGTGTTGAATGTTTTCAAATGACTTTGCATTCATCTCTACTAGGATACTTACTTTTTCCCTCTAGCTGTCCTCCTCACTCCACTGGACTAAAAGACATGTGAGAAACAGACTGTGTCTCATGAACACACCTATCACTACTCAGATGCCCAGAAAACTCTGAATGCATGAATGAAAGCACTATCTTTTCCCATTGTAACCATAAAAAAGCATCCAAATAATACTAGAGCAGAACACATAATCCATATTTTTTTCTTTTTGTGATGATGGTGATCGAATGCAGGGCCTCAGTACTCAACCACTGAGTTAAACCCCAGCCCCCCAACATTTTAAAAACTGTTGATGTTTGAAGTGAATCCATTCATACGTATACTGAAAAGTCAATAGAGAAGGGAATGTGACTTAATCAACAATAACTCTAAATCATTACTGCAGGATCTCAGGTACCTGAACTTCTCCGTTCCGCCTCTTCTCCAACGCCAGCCTTTCTTTCTCTGCTTTTTGCTCCCACTGCAGCTTCTCCAGCTGTTGAGTCATGATAGCTACTTTCTTTCTTACTTGTTCCTTAAGTTCTTTATAGCGATCCAGCTATACAGACAGCACCAAAACATTGCTAACTCACTCAAAGGAGCATGAGAGAAACTTCTTTGTATGACATCCTGGGCTAGCAGATAATTAATCTTATTCAAAACTTGTTTTATATAAATTAGATCATAATTAACCATTTTCTCCAGGTAAAATATGTGAACATAACGTGAAAACCTCCTTACCTTAACCTCTTTAGATAGAGCAACAAGATATTCAAAGCAAATGCTATCTAAAACTCTGTAAGAAAATCTTAAAGAGTGTCAGGCATGGTGGCACATGCCTATAATCCCAGCACTCAGGAGACTGAGGCAAGAGGATTGCTATGAGTTCAAAGACAGCCTGGGTTACACAGTGAATTCAAGGCTGGCCTGCACTACATAGTGAGACCCTATCTCAAGAAAAAAAGAAAAAAGAAAAAGGAAAAGAGAAAAGAAAATCTTAAGAGGGAAAGAAGAATCCAAAGAAAATGATACATCTTTTTTCTATTTATACAGCCACAAGTATTTTGGCATACATTATAATGTAAAATTACCATAAAAGATAAATGATAAAAGTTTAGTCAAAAGGTTTGAAAATTATCAATCACATACATTTGATATTTACTATTAATTTATTATAACTATTACATACTATACTAAGTTGGATATTAAGCTATCATTGAACATTTTAAATCACCTTACATAGTCATTTTCCTTTCCGTCAATTAAATTTTTCTTTTTTTTTTTTTGGTCTTTTTGAGACAGGGTCTCACTATGCAGTTCAGGCTGGTCTTGAACTCACTTTGTAGCCCAGGCTGGCCTTGAACTTGCAATGATCCTTCTGCCTCAGCTTCCCGAGTGCCGGGATTACAGGCGTGCGCCACCATGCTTGGCTAAATTTCTTCAAAGACACATATATCTTGTCTTTAAGTTTTCATAGTATCATGAAAAAACCTGTTTTACTTTAAAAATAACTTCGCTAATTTTCTAACTTACAAAATTACACCAGGTAATCTTGTTTTCTAAGACTTTAATGTATAAACGTTATAATGCCATCTGTCATATAGAGAAAAAATAGCTTAGTCTAAAGACTAAATTCAGATTCTGAGTACAGATTTAGAATTTTAAATTCCAATAATTTACACTATGAGGATAATCTCTTAAATATCAGAGAAGTCATTCTTTAAACTTTTTCTAATTAAAAGGATAAGTTGAAACAATTAAAAATTATTTCCCATTTGTTGACTTTTTCACCTGACTGGCTTCCAGTTCAATGCCTCGCCCTTTGAGTGAGATTTCTTCTTCAATCTGTTTTTCAAAACTTTTCCATGCACTGTCTAAATCAACCAGCTCTGTCTGAAGGGCTCTTATGTCATCTTCCTGCTTAGAGCATTGCTTTTCATAGTCCTTTATTGATTTCTTAGACACATCCAATTTCTTGAGGTAGTGAGAAGTATTTTCTTTGGCTTTAATGTACTGAGGCCTCTTCTGATTTAAAAGTACTTCAAGAGACCTAAAAAGAAAAAAAGATTTTTTGAAAAAAACTAATTCTGTTCATATATAAATGGAAATTCTTTTGTTCAAGTCACCTTCAAAACTAAATTCTATGAATTAGCTCTGAAGACTGTTAAGATGATCAACAGTTGCCAAAGGTTGAGCAAGTTCAGGGAGGGATGAGTACATGACACCTGGGGCATTTTTTAGCAGTGCTTAAATGATGAATTTCCCCAAAACTGTAGAACTTCACAGCACCAGGAATAAATTTTATTTTATTTATTTAATATTTTTGGTACTGGCACTTGAACTCAGGACCTTGCACTTACCAGGCAGGCGCTTGTGCCCCTGAGCTGTATCTTCAGCCCAAGAATGAATTTTAATGTAAAGATTTTTTTTTTACATAATCACGTGAGACTGAGGAGCACCAGATGGAATGTAAAATGTAACAAAAGAATCTAAATATATTACAAATATATTAAAACTTTAATAAAAGAGTGTGAAGAAAAACTGCTGGCTTGAGTAAGTCTGGAGTCTGTAATACCAAAAAAGGACTTTTACAAAAGCACTATACTCTAGTGATAAAACTGCTTCCCTGTGAGTATAAGTTAACTATTCTGATACTGCTGCACATAATCACTGGAACTGAACAATTAAATTGATGGCTGATGGTGGATGCCAGGTTTCTCACTACTGAAAAGGAAGTTTCTAAACAAGAGCAGGATAAAGTCATCCACATGGTGATGGATTACAGTTGAGAGACATCAGTACCAAGTCATGTTTAGCTTAACACAGACACAGATGGCTACCTGTGGAAATACTGATAGACATGTGTATATGTGATTCAGCACACACATACATGTCCTAGTTCTGTCAACAGCACACTCGCACACAGAGGTTGTCTCCTAAAACCATTCATCAATAAAAGGAGCCAGCACTCTGGAGAGAAATACTTGGTTCCAGGCCTGGGGCATCTCACAGTGCCATAAAGTATGGACATGCTGAAAAGTCACAATGATAGGGCTATGTGAAAGGGACACAGACTCTAACTCAAAGAATTTTCAATGGCCACAAGTAGATATCTGTTGATATGACACAGAGCACTAGATATATATCACAACATAGATAATATTTTGACACCCCTATATTATGTGATGAGAACAGCATTTTACATCTGAAGACTTCCTCTCCAAAATCCATGATGCCAATAATTATGAGAAAACTGCCAGACAAATTCCAAATGAGGGTCATTCTATAGAAAACCTGGACCAATATTCTTGAAAACTATCAGGCCATTCAAACATGGAAAGCCTCAAAAATTGTCACAGGCATGGAAAACAGACACTTACATGTACTGTCATGTTTTGGGTCAGAAAAAGGACATGAGGCACACAGTAGAATATAAAGAAAGTATAGATTTTAATAATATATCATATTGTTATAGTAATTCTAAAAAATGTGGCATACAAATAGTATAAGATGTTAATAAGATAAACAGCATGGGAAACATGCAACTCTACTTTTTCAGAATACCCCAAAATATTCCAAAATGAAACACTCATTTTGTTTTTGTTTTTTGAGACAGGGTCTCACTCTGCAATTCAAGTTGGCCTTGAACTATGTCGTCCAGGCTGGCCTCGAACTCACAGTGATCCTCTCGCCCTAGCCTCTCAGGTGCATTACAGGCATGTGCCACCATACCCAGCCAAAAGCTCATTTTAAAAAGTCAACTTTCCTAGCCAGGTGTGGTGGCACACGCCTGTAATCTCAGCACTTGGGAGGCTGAGACAGGAGGATTTTTGTGAGGTCAAGGCCAGCCTGGGCTACATAAATGAGTTCAAGGTCAGCCTACACTATATAGTAAGACTGTCTCAAAAAAAGTCAACTTTTCTACTGCCACTCATATTTTTTCTCTCAGTCTATATAAAATCCAAATATTAATAGCTATTTTTAAAAACTCACTTCAATTCTTTCTCTGTTTGTTGTAGTTGTCTAGTTAGCATTCCATGTTCCTTTTTCTTGGCTTTAACTATGTTTTCACGATGAGACTGCGACTCTTTTGCGACACTCAAATCCCTATTCACATGCTCTAACTCCATGTTCAGGAAATGAATTTTTTTCTCATTATGATATAGCTGGAAAAGCTGCAGTTGTATCTTGTTCAGTTTCAGTTCTTCAAGGAGACTTTGGTAATGCTCTGCCTATAAAACAGTACAATTCAACAGAAGTTAAAAGGGAGTATATTTAAGCTGACTTTCCACAAATTCCACTACTATACCACCACACTGATCCACAATGAATTTTTGTTTATGTTATTAAGAAACTGTATTCTTGACAAGAGTCCCATTATTTGGATACTTTCTGGATACACTTCTAAAATAAGCCAGTAAACCAGTGAATGATTTTGAATGAATGTACTTAGTGTTAGTGCTAGTAAGAACAATGAAGTAGCAACTGCTACCTAGTGTCCTTACCCGCATCTCTGTTCTGAGAAGTCCACTAACATTCCCTGGTGCCAGCTTCCTTATTTGTAAACTGAAGAAAGAGTGTTACATGACTATACATTTTCTAACAACTTTAAGTTCAATGATTTTACATAAAATTAATAGTATGGGAAGTAGTAGTTTTTCTACTGATTAAAAATAATAGGACTAATGGAAGTTGTAATAATTTACCAGAACTCTTTTTTTTTTTTTGTCTTTTTGAGACAGGGTCTCACTATGCAGTTCAGGCTGGCCTTGAGTTCACTTTGTAGCCCAGGGTAGTCTCAAACTCTCAACAATCCTCCTGCCTCAGCCTCCTGAGTACTGGAATTATAGGCGTGCGCCACCACACCTGGCCTGTAGCAATTTACTTGATTACAGTTTTATATTACATGAGAAATGAAGAATTTCCTTAACATCGATCTATGCTATTAATATAAAGAAATAAAGGATTGGACCACTTCAAGAGAAGAACTCCTAGTCAATGAAATATTCTAAGTAACAGCTAGACAGTTATCTGCCAAGGATGCTGTAAAAAAAAAAAAAAAAAAAAAAAAAACCACCAATTAGGAAAACAGCCTATTTTAACTGTCTTTATAATGTTTCAAGTTCCTTAACTCAGCCATTTCAGTACACAGAAAGAGTATTACAGTCTGACTTTTACTGCCCACCCCTTTCCACTAACAAAACCAAGAACATATGTAGACATATGAGGGAACTGAGAAAATTTCACTAATTAGGAACCCACCCACCCTTCATTTATTTCTTCAAATCTTTACTGAGTGTCTACGACACACCAGGTGCTGCTCTACTGCTGAGATATGGCAGAAAACAAGGAAAACTATCTCTGCTCCTATGAAGCTTACATCCTAGTTATTATAATGCAGGGGAGAGGAAGGAAAAGGAGTCGAGAGGATAAAAGCAAATAAAAAAGATAATTTCATACAGCAATATATGCTACAAAAGAAAGAAAATAGGATAATGTGGAAGCATAAGGGAAGGCATGCTAATTATGATGAGGAAGTAGACAACAAGTAGCTGCATGAGGAAATGGCTGTTGGAGGAAAACTTGAATGTGACAGCACCTGTCACATGGCCCAGGCTGAGGCAAGAGGATCAGGAGTTTGAGCCAAGCCTGGGAAATTTAGCAAGACCCTGTCTCTAAAAAAAAAAATTAAAAAGGGATGAGAACAGAGCTCAGACTGAAGGCCAGGAGTTCAATGCCCAGTACCATCAAAGAAAAGTAAAACAATGTTGTTCTTTTAACTATTTCACTTTGGAAAATATAGTTATTTTTCATAAAATATGTTATCATTTAATTAATTCAATTGCAATTTTTGCATGCATTGGTAAAATATTTTTTTAATTTAAGGTTTTAATTTCAAATACAACAAATATTGGTAAATATAATCTATATAAACAAAAACTCTGGGTCCACAATAATTTTTAGTATTTTATTTTTTGTGGTTTTTTTTTGGTACTGGGAATCAAACTAAGGACCTTGTACTTGTTAGGCAGGTGCTTGTGCCACTGAACTATATACCCCAGACATTCTCAATAATTTTTACAAGCTTAAAAATATCAAGATCCAAAACTGTCCTGGGAAGAAAAACCCAAATAGTGGAAGATACACTATACAATTTATCTATATTTAATGACTATCAGTTTATCTTTGATGTCTATTTATGTTTATATTTCTATTATTAAAGCAATCTTCTTGGTAATGCCAAGGTAAAACTTGGCAAATTTCACAGAAAGCAGTCACTTCTTCGGGACACCTTACCTCTTCTTTTTCTAATTTTGCATGCTTGCGCTCGGCAGCTGCATTTTTTTTCTTGTTAAAATTAAACTGTGCATCTTCCTCAGCCTTTTGTAATTTTCTTTTTTTTTCTTCATACTCTGCCATAAGCTCTCCTGAAGAGCTGATCTTCTCAAAAAACTGGGTTCTTTCTTTGGGTTTTTTCATGGAAATCGACTCTACAGTTCCCTATTTAAAACAGGAAGGGACAACATATAACATATAGCAATGCATTTCCAAAACTATGAATCAGATAAACTACTACAGCCACTTACCTGAAAAACGAGACAATTTCGTGCTTTGCCTATTACGCCTATCTTTTCCAACTCTGCTATGTAGGCAGAGCGAGTCACAAGGTTATCACCAAAATGGAATTCTGAGCATCCCCCTGAAAGACAGAACACAGACTGTTGCAGAATATTCTATATTGGAATGGCCAGTTCTGCAACAATATGCCTATTAACACACGTGTTTCATCAGTCAATAACAGTGTCTGTTAAATGCCAAGGACTATTCTCTGGTGGAAAAAAACAGTAGACGAAAGTCTCTAATCTTAAAGAGATTGTATCCTAGTAAGGGAGACAAACAAAAACAAAGTATGCAAGTAAATGGCCTGTGAGAAAGTAGTAAATGCTTAGTAAGAGAGACCTGGGAATGAGGAAGAACAGACATTTCTGCATAGGAGTGAAAGCACTGAGATTCAGTATGGCGGGTGTTATGGTCTGTGTCTGCGTGTCTCCCCAAATCCTCAGGAAATCATGGGGCAGGCTTCTGGATTTTTGACTGATCCATAGTCCAATGCTGGGATTATGGGTGTGAGCGCTAGACCTTCCCCTGGGGCGGGCAGTTTGCATACAATGTAAGGGAGGGAAAGAGGCTGTTTGTCACAGCTCCCCACTTCAAAGCTCTTGTTGCTTTTGCTGTCTTCTGCTGCATGAACTCTTGCCCTCTGCCATGTGCCACTCTGCCTTGGAGCCATCCCAGTATGGACTGAAATCTTCACAAACAGTGAGCTAAATAAACCTTTCCTTCCTTAATTCTGGGTGTGTGATATTTTGTTTCGGCAACGAGAGAAAAGTAACTGAGACAGCAGGCAAGGAAATCCATACTGAGATGGTTATTTGGGAATTAAAAATACCAAGGAAGGCCAGATGTGGTGGCCTGACCTGTAGCTGTAGCTTCTTGAAAGTGTGAAGTAGGATGACTACTTGAGCTAGTAGTTTGAGGTCAGTCTGGGCAACACTGTAAGACTCCAGCTCAATAAACAGAAAATCCAAAAGAAAAGGGAAAAAACTAGGCAATGAATATGCCCAGGTGAAGAAAAAAAAAAACAAAAAAAAAGGAAAAAAGAAACAGTTTGGGGCTGGGGATTTAGCTCAGCGGCACAGCGCCTGCCTGGCAAGCGCGAGGTTGTGAGTTCGATTCTGGGTACCAGAAAAACACCAAAAAAAAAAAAAAAAAGAAAAAGAAAAAAAGAATATGCCCAGGTGAGAAAGACATAAAATTACTCACGAAGGGACAAATATGTAACAGTGAGTATTCCTAAAATCACCTGTGAGTGAACTTGAGGAAAGTTAATAAGATAGGATTTATAAACTGGAAAAGTTCTAGAGAACAAGACTGAAAACAGCAATGATTTAAAACAGTAAACCACGTACTTATTTATAGAGGTTCTATAAAATCCTAGCACAGGGTTAAGAACTACACAAAGTTAATAATTAATACAAATTAAAACATTTCGCTCAATGTTGGGAGAAAAAACTGTCTATCACAGTGGTAGCGGTACACGCCTGTAATCACAATACTCAGGAGGCGGAGGCAAGAGGATCGCCACAAGTTGGGGACCAGCCTGGGCTATATAGTGGGTTCAAGGCCAGCCTGAACTACATAGCGAGACCTTGTTTCAAAAAATATATAATAACAGAAAAAAACTGTCTATAAAGATAAAAATATACATAAAATATGCACACAATTCATCAGTAAGAAAAGGGACAAGCCTCAAGAACCCCAAGAACATTCATGACTTCTCTCAGAGTCCCTCCTTTGGCTCAACCAAATAGCCACATATAAAAATGCTGATGGCAGGATATTTGAATAAATAAGTCTGCTTAAGGGAGAGTCTTTTTTTTCCTTTCTTTTAAAAATATTTTTTGATTAAAATAAAAATTAAAAAAATATTTTTTGAGACAGATTTTAAATGTAGTTCAGGCTGGCCTCAGGCTCACTTGAACTCACCCAGGCTGGCCTCCAACTTACAGCAATCCTCCTGCCTCAGCCTCCCAAGTACTGGGATTACAGGTGTGTGCCTGGCAGGAGGAATCTCAATGAAGAATAAAACAGACTCTGTTACTTTCTCTGAGGAAAAAAAAAAGGGCCTCTAATTTATTATATCAGTGGAATACAGTAAGTCCCCAATATATAAACATTTGGGTTGTAAACTTTCACAGGTGTACTGTGTAAGAGATACTGTGTCAGACTTAGGATCAAATCGGACTTATGTTCTCCCAGAATGGAGCTCATTCAGAAGTCAGGGACTAAGTCCCACCTTTCAAACAAAGAAAAAGCCATCTCACTTACTCTTGAAAATCAAATGACTCCCGACCAAAATATACACAGAAAATACCTCGGATAATCCGTGCAAATGTTTTCTCTTCTCCACTTTCCTCCACATATACAATTTTTACACTTGCAGAGGAAGAAACAGGTTTTCCAACATGTGCACCATGAATAAGTTCTTGAATACTTTTCACTCTCAAATTAGTTATTTTCTCTCCCATTACAAAGCTAAGTGCATCCATTACATTAGATTTTCCTGGGGAAGAAAAGAGAAAGATTAATTCTTAATGATAAAAAGCCTTGCCCAGAGCCAGAGAAGTCAGGCTACCAATGGCAGTGAAACAGTAGATAGCCTAGGCCTGTTAGTGTTCAAGATGCATGTGACTGAAGTCTTAGGGCAGTCACTGGTTTCTTCTATGCAGCTATAGCAGAGTACTGAGGGAGCTAAATTTAAGGATAGAAACCCATGCATCTAAATCCCAGATGTAAACCATAACACCTAATGCCACATAATCAAACTAAAACTTTAAGGAAGCAGTAAATCCACATACATAAAATAAGAGATTCATAGCAACCAACCAGAAAGAGCCCAGTCTACCTGAGTCAGCCACAATAAGGAAGTCCATACTGCTATAACCCTTACAAGAAAAGTAAACTGGCATACCCTGTTAACCAATCCAGTTTGTTTTTCTTGTTCCTTTACAAAAACTAACTGTTCTATCATTCCCAGGGGAATGTTCATTCTATTTCACAGATTAAGGTGTTGCTAGGTAAGGTGGCACATGCCTGTAATCCCAAGCACTTGGGAGGCTGAGGCAGAAGATCACTGCAAATTCAAGGCCAGTCTGGGCTACATAGTGAGTTCAAGGCCAGCCTGAACTGCATAGCAAAACCCTGCCTTCAAAACAAAACAAAAAAAACAAAAAAAGGTGTTACCTGATTCTAGAATCATAAATTAAAGCCAGTTAGACCTTTAGGTGAAATTTGTGGTTAATTTTGTCCTTTGACTCCTCCAAGGTGCTTACAGTGGGTAATATGATCCATGTTTACCTAACCTTGTGCCAGATTCCCTATGCCTATTATTTTGTCTTCACAACAATCCTATGAATTAGGTATTTAATTTGCATTTTACAAACAAAGAGTTACATAAGACATTTTGAAGTGAAGCATCTGATTCCAAAACCTATGTTCCTTCCGCAGTGTAGCAAAGGACAATGTAGGACATTACACTGTTATGAAGTGGATCAAATACATCCCCCAAAAGGCTCACAGGTTCAGAAGTGGGGTTTTGCGAAGGTAATTAGATCACGGGTGGTGACATCAATACTCCACTTATGAGTTCATGGCCGAATGTGCTATCAGGAGGCGGTGTCTGGCTAGAGGGAGTAGGTCACTGCAGGGTAACCTGGAAGAATACATTCCTGTCTCCAGCCCCTTCCTGTCCCTCCAGCTCATTCTCTTCGCTTTCTGGCTGCCATGAGGTAAGCAGCTTTCTGCTGTCACACCCCTTCACCATGCTGTCTCTGACCTGGAGGCAGGCAACCACCGGTTAAAACCTCTGAAACAATAAGCCAAAATAAACCTTCCCTCCTCTAGATTGACTGTTTTGGGTAATTGGGTCACAGTAATAAAAAGATTACTAGTACCCATACTATAATAAATTATAAGAATAAATGAACACAAAATACAAGTAGACGGAGGCTGAGTTGGCTTTGCAGGGTATAATTCTGAATTAAATTTTAAAGGATAACAAGAAGTTTGGAGAGATGAGTGCTCAAGGTAAATAGATTATCCCAGAGAAAGATGAACTTGCTCCTAGGTACAATGGAATGAGGTGGGATGGCACCATTTCAGTAAGAAAGCAACTAATTTCGATGTGGGTAGAAAGCTTAGAAGGTTGGAAATGATGAGAGAAAGCTGGGAACTTACATAAGAATTTCAATATGCTACTTTAAAGAAATTAAGCTTTGTGCTGAAGATTGTGTGAAGCCACCAAAGTGTTTTAGGAACAACTTTTTCAAGTACATTTTACAGAGATTTCTCAGACATTAACCCAATAGAGAAGTGGGCACAGGACATAAAAGCCAAGTCAGAGAAAAGGGACCTTAATCGTCAAAACTGCTCAAAATGAATCATAATGTATAACAGGAAGGTAAATTAACACAGTACTGACTTCCAATTCTCACCTGGCAATGGATCCAAAACTTTCAAAATACATTCTTTTGGTCAGGCAGGAGGGAAACACAGCCTCTTGCAGATTACTTTAAAAGGATGCACTTTATGGTATACAAATAACTCAATAAAGCTCTTATATAAAAAATAACAAATCTAAAAATGTACTTCATGTGTTTTCTAATGCCATTCACTGAAATGGTCCAGAATCAGTGTCATCTGAATGCATTAAGTACCTGTAGCTCCAGATGGTGGTGTTTGATACCTGTCATACTGAGAGAAACCAGAATCACTAGAGAACTAGCTAGTTCAAGTCTGAGGCAGAGAAAAATGAACATGAACCTGGGAACTAAGACATCGTACATCAGCAAGCAAGCTTTCCAATGCTAATGAGATCACGACCAAAGCTCAGAGGCGGCAGCTTGAAGGAGCAGCCATAACTGCTGAAGAATGACTGTAATGGGCTAAGACACACTTCCATCAGTGAAAATCTATGGGTCCACATCAATGCCAACAAAAAACCAGAGGAAAAGTCACTTATACCACTTGAGGAACTTCCTGCCACACCTCCTCAAATCCAGTGTTTTCTGTCCTAGTTTAAAGTTTTATAAACTTGTAATTTGGCTTTCTGTTTCAATTAGTGTGTTATTTTCTTACACTCCCCGTACCTCAGAAACAGAAGGTGCCTTACTGTCTACCTTTTTCTGCTCCTTACACACACACACACACACACACACACACACACACACACATTTGTTGAATCTAGCTGACTGGAAAACATGAAAGTTAAGATTAAAACCAAAACTTTTCCTCTACCCACAAAAAAAACCAAAGTTATATCAAAAACAAATAAATGGGGACATGTCAAATCTGGGAAGGTGATAATAACAAAAAATATTTTAAAAATGAATGACCAAGCCAGGGGTGGTGGCTCTTGCCTGTAATTTGAGCACTCAGGAGGCTGAGGCAGGAGGACTGTACAAGTTCAAGGCCAGCCTGGGCTACACTGTGAGTCCAAGGCCAGCCTGAACTACATAGCAAGACCCTGTCTCAAAAAAACAAGAAAAGACCAACTAAATTAAAGTATTAGTAAATACTTTAATGCTAAAGTATTAAAGTTGATTAAAAAGTTTATCTGAATTTTATCTTAAAATTTATCTGAATGTACCAGTAATTATGAGATTAAAATACCAGTAAGTACCATACTGAGTTTTGGACTTCATATAGCAAGAACGTGAACAGTCTAGACAAAATCCAGAAATAAGACAGGCTTGGGCTGGGGATTTAGCTCAGCGGCAAAAGCACCTGCCTGGCAAGCGCAAGGTCGTGAGTTCGGTTCCCGGTACCGGAGAAAAACCAAAAAAAAACAAAAAACAGAAATAAGACAGGCTTGGTAGTGTGTGCTTGTAATCCCAGCACTCAGGAGGTTGAGGCAGGAGGAGTTTGGCGAGTTTGAGGTCAGTCTGAACTACTAGTGAGACCCTGTCTCAAAAACAAAACAAAACAAAGCAAATACACGACCCAGACATTTCTGTCGTGGATAGACAGAACAGAAGTCAAACCTAAAGTAATGCATGACCTGTTTTATGTAGTTTTAAGTAGTCTCAAGAGGGAACTTCCAGGGCGTCTAGAGCTTCTAGGGCATTTAGGTGCAGGGAGTCAGAAGAATTTGTAAAGAGCTTCTTACAATAAACCTAAAATATGTTTTTAATCAAAATGTTTTCTTTTTCCATAGTGGGCCTTCTACATGCCAGGCAAGTGCTCTATCATTGAGATATACCCCCACTTTTCAATATATGTACTAATTTTGGTTGCTTTTGGCTTTTGATACAACTTTTTTTTGAGGCAGGGTCTTGCTTTGTAGTGCAGGCTGGCCTCAACCTCCCCACAATCCTCCTGCCTCAGCCCCCTGACTGCTGGGATTAGAGAAAGCCAGAGTAGGAATGCAAGAGTTTTTGCCATGATCATCTTTTTGGTGTCTTCTTGATAACAGAATAGTTATGATGAGGACATACATTTCGCAGAAGAGGCAAGGCAATCTTCCCCCATGCGGACGTTTCCAAGCTCAGGTACCCTTCCTATCACTACTGGAAAGGAGAACACTAACCAGCAATTACTCCTATAGGGCAACAGAAATTCCACACAGGTTCCGCGATAATTACGCACTAGATTTTGCATGGCAGGAAAGCACATAAAAATTCCAAGTATTCTATTCATATCTGTCAGTAATTTATTGAGGCAACAGTTCATTTTCAACTCCAGTCTAAAAAAAAAGAAATCTAAGCTAGGAGAGCCGAAAGGGCACACGCTGGGCAGTCCTGCAGGGACGCTCACTTTGGGGGCCGCGCTCCGCCAGCCACGGGCCCGGACGGCAGCCCGGCCTCTCCGGGCCTCTGCGCCCTCCACTACACGGGAATTCAATCCGTTTGTTGGGGTTCGACACAACCGGTGGCGCCCAGGAACCCGCACAGGTCGTCCCGGGGGCGGGGAGGGGGGTCGCGTGTACCGCGGACTCCCGGGCCGTGGCTCCCGGGGCGGACGGCTGCCCGCCGGCGCCCCCTCGTCTCTGCGCTAGGCGCGGGGTGCCGAGGGGAGGGCGAGGACCCTGGGGGGGGGCGCCCGGCCAAGGTGCGCGGGAGGAGAGGCGCTGCTGAGGCGGGGGGGGGGAGGACGAA